AGGGGGGGGGGGGGGGACAATGAATGACAGGTGAGTCCTTATATGGGCCCTACCCATGGACTGGTGGGCCCAGTGGTCAAAACTACAAGGCCTGTAATTCAGTGAAAAGAACACAAGAAAATACAAGTTGGTTTCACTAAAATCATATTTATATATTTTTTATTGTGTTTTCAGATTTTTATTTTTATTGTTTATGATTTTAAATTAAGTATTAGAAATAAATAAAATTTAATAAAGTTTTTGAGACATATCTTATCCGATTAATCCTAGTTTGTCAAGAAATAAATTTGACATAAGCGAGTTGAATCGTAGACATGTACAGTATTATTACGTGCTTATCAGTTGAACTTATTTTAATATTTTTATAAAAAGTTGGCATGGCCCATAATATATATATATATATGTGTGTGTGTGTAGGACATAGATAGACACTTATTTTTATAGAAACGACAACAAAATGTATGTGTGTCACTGTGGAGGCATATGAATGAAATGCTTTAGGTGAACTGTTTATTTGATTGGATGCTTGTATTATGCATATAATCAGAAAGTTTAAAAAAATTATCTCAAAACTTTTCCGCTAAGGGTGAAGCAAAGAAAACATAAATTTTTGGTAATTAGTATGCAAAATAAGAAGGGTGGTGGTTGAAAATTCGTTATTGTTTTGTAGTATTTTTAATTACAGTGCAACATCTTATGGCCTTTTTCATCGTTTTTAACTTGTTTTTTATATAGAACAAATTTACATTAAATTTATAGATACTATATTATATCGATCTGTTAAAAGATATATGCGGAATTGTATTCGTGTCGCCGACAAATGAGAGTTCTGCCAAATTTCTTTGTCCCAATTAATGAACATATTTTTTTGCTAGGAAGATATTTTATAATAATTTTGGACAAAATGGATTCTAAAAATATATGTGCAGCGACAAAAAGACGGTGTATACATGCATACATATATATATATATATATATATATATATATATATATATATATATATATGATACAAGCGCGCGAG